AAAAAAAAAAAAAGAGCTGGCGGCAGGCAAGGAGACTTCTGTGCTCCATCTACCCCTCAGAGGCCAACTGTACTGTACCAGGGCTTTTATTTTAAAGAATTCCCAGTTGCCTTTAGCACTCACTTTCTCCACACCACCTGGGTCTGGTCTCTGGACCAACGCCACCGCACTCCACTGACTGCAGCAGAGCTGCTCCTGCCCGCGTACCGCTGTCACGCCGGTTACGAGGCCGGAGCGTATTCATGTGGAAAGCCGGGTTTGTCCTTTCCTCAGCGTGGTGAACTGAGCTGGAGGACACTCCGCCGCCTGCCACGGGGGAGTCCTGGGTGGGCTGGCTGGAACTCGACGCTTCACTGTTTTGCTGCAGAGGGAATCTCGGGCGCATTGCAGCAAGGCTTCCCTGCGAGCCCGAGTTAAATGCTCTCAACGTACAATGCAGAATAAAACACACACAGACTTGTAGGCTGTGATTTGCTCCCAGGGGTGAGGAAACGCGTCGCTCCCAAAGCGAGCGAGAGCCGCGCGGCTGAGCTGTGGATTTTACCCCAGCGACGCAAACCCGTAAGCTGCAACTTCGCAGCGCAGGCAAGAGCAACTACAAACAGGACCAGGATGTGGTTGCAAAGTCCCCGGTCACAACGGATAGCAGGGATGGGGAAATGGTGGAATCCGAATGCCAGTGGATGAGAAAGGAGGAGGAGAGGGTTGGCCCTGGCTTGCTCATCCTATATAGGAGAAAACAGGGCTCCTGGGGAACAACTGATTTGAGGCCTTTGAACAAGGGGGCCATGGAAGGAGGCTTCGCTACGGAGGACAAAAACAAGCCCTATGAGGCTGGGGACCGAGGTCCCAGAGCACAGGAGTCTCTTGCGTGGGGAAAGGCCTCTCCCCTTCCCTGAGGCCGTTTCCAAGTGGGCCCAAGGCCCCTCTCGCCTCTGACCTGGAGTTTATCCAGGACAACTCCCTCCTCCTGCCTCCAGTCCCCGCTCCCTCTGCCTCGGGGCTCCCAGCACAGGGAGGGGGACCGTCAGGCCCCGCTTCCCTCTGCCCACACCCCAAGGGAGGGAAGAAGCAGTTGGAAATGGGAATTTTTGAGAGAAAAGCCTTCTGCTCCCTCCTCCCTGACCTTTGCAGCTGGACGAGGCACCCCCAAAGGGACTGTTCTCCTTCCTGCCCTTCTCGGGAGAAGGCACATGAACAACAGACCCATGCCGATGGGGGGAAAGGGAAAAGCAGCGTCTTCTCTCAAGGTGGGGCTGATAGCAGAGCACTTGGAGTCTGAGCACGTACCTGCACTTTCAGCTGACGCAGAGGTGGAAGGGGCTTGAGGGTTTGGGAACAGTTCACTCGTATCTTCCCCAGCAAAGATGCTTTTCATGAGTATTTTCCTTACAGCCAACAGGCTGCTTTTTCAATCCAAAGGCTTTCCATCCACAGATAAATCCAATGCCTGACCTGGCAGGTGATGACACTGTTCAGCTACTTGGGGTGTTTTATTCCCCCTACCTGGCGTGCTCCTGAGGAGAAGAGAAGAAAAAGGCTCAGGGGACTGAGAATAGGGATATGGTGCTCTGGTTGCCCTGTTCAGGATGAAGAAGCCTGGTTGCCCCTG